TCGGAATTCCCGTAATTACGAGATTCCAACTTGTAAAAAGCATTCACGTCCTCGTAGAACTCATAATTACAACTTGTGAACTGGGAGTATTCTGAGTGCTACGACTTGTACCACGTGACCGCTGTACCACTTGACCACTGCAGGCTCTGTTTAGGCGTCGATAGTGTTGCCATAGAAAAGCATAATTCCGAGGACATGAACAGCTCCGAGTAGAACGTCACATGCTGTCATCTCGAAATTACGGTAATTATAATATGGCGTGAACGCAGCATTATACTACATGCCTGAACGAAACAAACAGCAGAAGCTCTGAATGAGATGCAGATTCACTTTCTGACAGCAGGAGGCGCTCATGGAACACCAGATACAGCGTTTCCTTGGTTACCATTGTAAACAAAGCAGTGCAGCGCTGAAACACTTGTGTTTTTGAAACCGTGAAATTTTCAAATCGCGGTATACCTTGAAACCGGTAATCGGCCCATGCCTACTCTGTATGCTAGGCTGGGGAGGGGTTTGGAAGAATGAATTGTTCACGTCCTCGTAGAACTCATAATTACAACTTGTGAACTGGGAGTATTCTGAGTGCTACGACTTGTACCACGTGACCGCTGTACCACTTGACCACTGCAGGCTCTGTTTAGGCGTCGATAGTGTTGCCATAGAAAAGCATAATTCCGAGGACATGAACAGCTCCGAGTAGAACGTCACATGCTGTCATCTCGAAATTACGGTAATTATAATATGGCGTGAACGCAGCATTATACTACATGCCTGAACGAAACAAACAGCAGAAGGCAAAGGAGGGGTTTGGAAAAATGAATCTTTAAACGAATCGTTTGGGAGTCGTTGAGTAAGTAAGGTAAAAATAAATGCATATTATAAGACAATGAAAGTGTTTTTTGACCTTGCATGCATTAACCTGTTGTTGGGGACTCCCAAAACCAAAATATGAACCTTTCATTACCCATAATAGGGGCACTTTAATATATTTTTAAATGTAATTTATTACTGTGATGGCAAAGCTAAATTTTTAGCATCATTACTCCAGTCTTCAGCGTCACAAAATCCTTCAGAAATCATTCTAATATGCTGATTTGGTGCTTAAGAAACATTTCCTATTATTATCAATGTTGAAAACAGCTGTACTGCTTAAAATGTTTGTGAGAATGTGATTTTTTTCAGGATTTTTCTGGATTCTGTTCAAAGAACATAATTTATTTATATTTTCTTAATTTACAAGTCTTCAGTGTAACTTTTCACTAAAGATCAATTTAATGCATTCTTTTTGAATAATTGTATGTATGTGTGTATTTATTTATTTAAAACTAATCCCAAACTTTTCAGGGACAGGCCACTCAAAATTACACTCCATTATGCAGTCTCAGAATGACTTCTCTTTATTTGGATGCCATTCTCATTGCACAAAAAAGTGACCAGTTTAACCTTAGTCGATACTGAGTTTATTGACGCATGGGCACAGGGAGAAAAGTTTGAAAGTAATTGGAGAGGAATCTTACTGCACCATTTAGCATCTCAAATTATAGTTTATCCTTCGTGCTTCTCTACCAGCACATATTTTTAAGTGTTGCATGCTGGGCCGAGAGGAAAACAAACCCTGAGGGAGGGCCTGTGTGAGCTAGACCACTTTAGCTTATTTTCCTCTGTCCTCCCCTGAAGTGAAAGATCTAGGCGATGATGATGAGTGCAGAGTTGCACAAGTGCTGAAAGGCAATATCATGGAACACAATGTGACGGTACTTCTGTTAGATGCTTCCCTTTGGTTGACAACACTATGTTTGTGAGATATGCATTGTGCATTTTTTTTAACCTAAAAAAATAGCCAGTTCAGCCTTGACCAGGGTGGCATAGACAAATAAAGAGATACATAATGTGTCACATGTAGCCTAAAAAATAAGCTTAGTGTACCTTCATTATTCACTACCTGTCAGGATTCTACTAATAAAGTTTACTACGGATTCTTGAAACTTACTGCACCATTTAGCATCTCAAAACAGCCATTCAGCTTATATTCCTCCTCTGAAGTGAACAATCTAGGTGATTACTGAAAGACAATATCAGGGAATGCAATATATGATGGTACTTCTGTTAGATCCCTCCCTAGTGAACACTAACACGCACTCTCTCGTTTAAAGTGTATTTACACACTAGACCTAACAAGGTGTGAAATCCAAGCGTTATTGCTCAGCATCCTGAGGAATCTTTTTCGTAATCACACTGAAAAGAACCACTTCTAATATCCAGTGTTCTCATAAACTAACTCATGCATCATGAGTAAATGATGAAACTAAGGGAATTTGAGTTGAACTGTTTGCTAATGTGTCTTGAATCCATTATGGGGGTAGGAAGCACTCATCTCTCCATTACAAAACTGAAATATGCCAGCTTTTATAGCAATATTAAGAAGCATAATTCAGACAAATAAGTCCTAACTAGGATTTCACTAAGTAGGGTTTGAGAGGCACAATTCCAAGAGAGTTAAGAGACGCTATTTTTAAAGATTTAACTATGTTTTAACTTTATGAATGCTAGTGATGTATGCAATCTTAAAAATGACAATTTGCAGTCTCATGCTCATTTGTCACATTTCAAAGATGAAAATTGCTCAGATATTGTGCTACTAAATACAACTTGTCTGTATCTAAAAAAAAAAGCATCTTAAACTTTTGAATGGCAGTGGACAATTAAAAATGCAGTTAAAAAAAAAAAAAAAACATTTCAGGGATGGGCCACTAAAATTATGCTCTTAATGTGGATATTATTTTTAAAGATTTAATTATGTTTCAACTTTATGAATGCTAGAGATGAGAGCTTAAAAATGACCACTTGAACTCTCATAAATCACAGTTCAAAGATGAAAAATTTAACAGATATTTGCACTACTAAAAGCAACTGGTATTTAAAAGTGGTGTATGTATTTTTTTGACTGTACATCATACTGTAGAGTTGGAGTGGCAGGGAAGACAAGAAGCTCAGTACTAAAGCATAAAAATACTTTTTTTTAATATGTTTGCAGATATAAAAAAAAAAACATGCTTTCACATTCTAAAAAACTACTTTAAAATGTGCATTCTGTGTCAGGATTTCTATTTTTGTTTTGGTCTTTGTGATTCCGCCCGCTGCCAATTTACCCAATAGCATTTCGACACCTCAGGTTGCCAGTTGGCGGAAAACACAGCGTATTACAGCCATGGAAGGCAGCAAATGAACTGGGTTAGAGATTGCAGATTCTACCTAACCTAAAAAGTCTCTGCATCCATCTAAAACACAGATAAATTAACTCACGAACTTGCAGTGTAAGGCTCGTCGCCTTGTAAATTGTGCTCGTTCCTGTTGCTGCATGTCCTCAATCTGGCAACCTGAGTGAGTGTAGAGTCTGAGGAGGGCTTTTTCTCTTTATTCGGATGCTATTTTTAATTATTTAACTATACTTAGCTTTATGAATGCCAGTGATGCTTGGAAGCTTAAAAACAACGATTTGCACTCTCATGCTCATACATCACATTTTTAGCGTGAAAAATTGCACAGATATTACACTGCTAAAAGCAACTTGTCTTTAATGCAAAGCCGGGAGTTTTGCGAGACTTCTAAGTTACAGCAGGAAAGGTTGAGAGAGCTGAAACGCAATAGAGAAAGGCAGTCAGATTAAAGACCCACGCTAGCCCCCACTGAAGGACGGGAAGAGAAATGTGTTTTTACAGCCAGCCTCTCTTTATGCCTGTGCTGCGCTGGGAACTAATCCCCAGTGACTGTCAGCCGAATACTCGTCACCTCACCAAAGCTCCTTACATGACTCCACGCGCATCCAGCAGGAGCAGCGTCCGCTTCAGCTGCCGTCCCTTCGTCCCCTGGAGACGGGATGATTTAATCCCCAAAGCCACTCTCTCTCACCCGGCACCCAGCGGCACATTAGGCAGCTCATTCCTCAGTTATATAAGAGCAAGATGAGATGAAACTCATTCGTGCCTGTCCATCATGAGCAATCTTCTGTGGGAATGAGTTCCTGCTCCCCTGGAGTGAGCGAGGTGAACTCTGAGGCCAGAAACATAGTTGATGCTAGAATGCAAATGCAGATGTGAATGTTTGACTAATCAAGCATGCTGTTGTTTTGTGCATACTTACAGGTAGGGATGCACGATTAATAAAATAGAAATTATTACTATAATTTGGTTCTTAAATACTTGATTTTTATATTTTACAGTGAAATGGTACCATACTAAAATATATAAAATTATTATTAGTAATTATATATAAAATTATTATTATTAGTAATAACAATAACAATAACAATTTGTATTTTTATAGCACCTTTCAAGAACCCATGGAGGCTTCACAAAATAATACAAGCAACTGGCAAACAAAATACACCAGACAGTCAAGAATCCAAGGACGCTACATAAAATAATACAAGCAATTGGCATATTAATGAACTATTATTAATTAATTTGTTTATTTATTTCTTTAAGCCATATTGATATACATTTACAACGTTTTGGGCAATTTGTGGCCAACAAACAAACACAGCAAACTTTTTTAAAATTACATTTTAAATTGCAATTGCAATTTTAACACTAAAATTACAATTACATAAAGTAATAAAAAATAAATATGTTAAATTTAATATATATTTATTTAAATACACACACACACACACACACATATGTGACCCTGGACCACAAAACCAGTCTTAAGTTGCTTGGGTATATTTTTAGCAATAGCCGAAAAAACATTATATGGGTCAAAAATATCGATTTTTCTTTTATGCCAAAAATCATTAGGATATTAAGTAAAGATCATGTTCCATGAACAATTTTTTGTAACTTTTTTTTTTTTAATGGGATATTCATATAACAAGAAAAAATCTAAATGTTCATTAGATTAAAAATCAACCCCTGGGAAACAAGTCACCGACGCTAAAGAAACACCCACTTGTGTTGCATCATAAATTGTGTTCTTACATTTTTTTGAAAAACAATAACATGTGACATTTGAGCTTGCATAGCTAGAAGCATCTGCGTTTGCATACTTGTGTACTGTACAGTGTTCTCAACTGCATATAATGCCTTATTGTAACACTCTTAACCCATTCCCGACAAGACACGGTGTCATTTTTTGTTACGGGCTGAAAAGCCTGAGCTTGTCTTGTCTCAACAGATCAGCTCTGTCCCACCAGAGCACAGCCCATGTCTTCTGGGTTTCCTCTGAGGAATGGGACTGCAGTTGGGGAGAGTGATTACACAGGTAGAGGGAGCCCAATGAGCTGGAACCTCCTATCTTGTTCCAGGCAACCCAAGGGATCGATAGCAGGAGGAGAGGGTCTAAACATCAGCGAGAAGGGCTCCGATTACACCTCTCTCATCTAATCAATCAGCACGACTGTTCAAGCATCCTGCCCTCCTCCTCCTCCTCCTCCTCTTTCTGCAGCCTCATTCTCTTGCCGTCTGCTTTCATCCTCTATTTCCCTCCCCCTTTTTCCATTTTTGTCACGGGGTGAGACAAAGGTGTCTTCACTCACATTATCGTCACACCCAGAAAATGGGTCACCGAACACCGAATCCTGAGCTCTCTTGTGCCCTGTCCTCACTGTCTGTAGTAAAACGCCACACTGTCAGCAGTCCTGCTCTCGCCCGCACTAAATCACTGACTTATCCAACCGCTGGCCACGTACTAAATATCTCCTTAAGAGTGCTGACGAGCAAACAGAGCTCAGGTGAAAGCCCAGTCGAGTGATGTAGCGAGGCCGGGGCCGGCCTGCCTGGAAGATAAAGGATGTGTAATCACAGCAGGCCAGACCCGTGTGCTCCTGAGCTGTAAAGGAGATAAGAAAACACACTTAGCGGGAAGAAAAAAAAAGCAGAGTGTTCTGACGATGAGTGGACTGGAGCAGCAGATATTTGCACTCCTCGCTCAAAGTGTTCTGTAATCACTCCGCTCCAGCTCCGCTTCAGGTTTTCTACTTTGCATGTCTCTGTGCTCAAAGGTGAGAGAAATCTTCACGCTTTCAAGTGTGGTTCAAGGATGATAACTATAACGATAAGTATATAATCGTTGCAATGCTATGAGAAAAGGGAAGTCCGCACCACAACTAAAATGACACAGAGGAACAATATATTTGGAATCACTTTCAGATTTTCTCCAGGCGATAAATAAAAACAACGATAGCCAATCAGAATTCACCTGATATTGAGCTTTTCAAGAGGCAGAAGTCTGTAAAGTCCTATAGGAAAGTCCTTTATTTTGTTTTCAAAAATATCATTCACTTTTATAATGTTCAGTTTTTATACTGTTTTGTGAATGATGCATATCTATCAGTAGTTTTCAACCTGTTTGTCTCCAAGGCCCCCAATATATTAAAATAATTCAAGAAAATAATTACAAATGATTTACATAATTACATTCCATAATTTGAGAGCTTTCAATAGCTAAATATTCTTCAGGGTTTACATGTTTTACACCAATTAATTTACATGACTTTTCTGTTTATGATTACAGGGTTTTCTAAAGGTATAGTTCTACATTTTTTTTTATTCACAAATTGCAATTTCTACCTGATAAAGTATTTTAGAGCTATACATAACTAGAAAATTATTTTAGATTTTTTTTTTTTCAAATGGATTTGAATAACCAGGTTTTCCCTTTCTGGTTCTTAACTAAGAATGATATTTGTTGAAGGAATTACAAAATATAATGTCACTTTACATCTTGTTTTTTATTTTTTTTGCTTTATATTATTTTATTGCTTGTTTTTGATTTGTATTTTTTATAGTATTTTAATAGACTACACATCTGAAAACAGAGAGTAGTCTGGTTTCCATAGCATATCTTTATGCAATTTATTTGATTTATGCAGTATAAAAAATTTACAAGTATTGTATTATCTGTGGACTCTAAATTGCAAGTAATTACATTTAATAAAAAAGGAAGTAAAAAAAAAAACAAAACATTTTTTTTTTGCTTACATTCCAATTTTTCACAAACCAGATTCACTTCTGGTGTTGTAGTACTAAAAAAAAAAAGTCAAAAAAAGAAAAGTCCACAATGACTATTTGGTTGTCTCTACACCCGCGTACATTTGTCTTTGATCTTCACTGTATATTTTGTATTTTTGATAGTTTTCTGTCCATTAATAATAAAATCTATGTTTATTTTCCCATTCTGGCTGCTATTACTTTATTAATTCTTGCATAATGGCACATTAAAATGATATGCACAGCTATATCAGAGCCATCCTGGAGCAAGAGAAAACACCGGCACTCTGACTTTCAACCAAACCACTCCTTGCTCCAGGCTAAATCGTGCAACTCCACTTTCACGCTTCTATTCTGTACTGCTCATATACTCTAGTGGGTGGAGAGGGGATCCGGTAAAGAGGATGTGCTTTCAGCTCCCAAACGCATGTTTAACTCTTCTTGACTTTCACCTGCAGAGCACATCCAAGTGGCAATCCAACAACTGAAACGCATGACAGAGTTTACACTGAGGCAGTAGGATCCATTTTCACCTGCTGTTTTGATGGAGAATATTAGAGGGAGGGAATGTTAGAGACGAGCCAGTGTCTGCAACTGCAGGAGGAAATGAACTGAAATCAGAGCGCTTATTGTCTGTTTTGGAAACCACAAGTTCCTTAGGTAACATACTTAAAGTGCAACTCTTATGAGCACAATGCATTTAAGGCATGCTGTTGGAAAGAAAATCACTAATTAGGTCACTTTAGTGTATCAGTTGTTTCTTATACACCACTGAGATTAAATAGAGAGCAAATGGAAACTTTTGCTTAAATATCCTGCTTCTCAAACATTTCACTTCAGAGAAACACACCAGTAATTTCACGTGTGTCCTTTAAAGCAGGTGTTTTCACACTTTTTAATGCTGATCCTGTTATATTCCTCTATATTTACTATATTATATTTTTATATATTATAATATTAATATTATACAATTAATATGGATATATTCATATGCATATTAATATAAATTATATATAAATTTTTTGTAAAAAAAATAGTGTGATAACTTTAAAAACTTAAAAAATGTAACATTTGGAATTTTGTTGTCATTATACTGAAGTAAAAAATATTAAATATTATGTAAAATGTAATTATTAATTTAAATAGTTAGTATTCATTCATATTTATTTGTATAGTGTCATGACAATTGCCACAATTTTTTTTTAGAAAAAACTAGTTACATTTTGAGAAAAAAGTCTAAATAAAAATTTGAGAATAAACTTGTTAAATTACGAGAAAAATGTCATTAAATTTTGAGCAAAAACACATTGAATTTCGAGAAAATGTAAAAATAAAATGTTGAGAATAAACTCGTTAATTTACGAGAAAAAAACTCGTTAAATTCCGAGAAAAATTTTCTCGAAATGTAACAACTTTTTTCTCATAATTTAAGTTTATTCTCAACATTTTATTTTAACTTTTTTTTAATCTCCAAGTTTTTTCTCGAAATTTAATGACTTTAATCTGAGGATGGTTTTATTTATTTTTTTATTGCTTGGCCCTAATCATCTTACGTACTCTTATGCTCACCGAGACTGCATTTATTTGATCAAAAAGACAGTAAAACAGCAATATTGTGAAATATTATTACAATTTAAAACAACTGTTTTCTATCTTATTACATTTTAAATTGTAATTTATTCCTTTCATGGCAGCAGCAGCCATTACTCCAGTCTCCAGTGTCACATGTTCCTTCAGAAATAATTTTAAAATGCTGATTTGATGCTCAGGTATCCTTTTTAAATTATTATTATCAGTGTTGAAAACAGTGGTGCTTAATATTTTTGTGCAATTTATGATAGACTTTTTCAGGATTCTTGAATAGAATGAATAGAATGCTCAAAGGAATGGCATTTATCTACTCATTCCCACCTAATTTGACTTGCCCCGCAACCTCAACATTTTTTATGCACTCTTAAAAGTCAAACTCAGAGCCTTTTTAAATATGTATGCAGCTCTTATTGTATCTTAATGCTTGTCTCATATGTTTCTATTTTTATGTGTCCTAAGAGGGAGGTGTGTGCGTGAATTTGAAACCGGCACTGTGTGGTTGTTGCATCTTGGCTGACGTGTTGTGGCGGAGTGAGAGTAGTGACTCTCAGTGACGCTACAGGAAATGATGGCCCAAGCCTCAGTGGCAGAAAGAGAGTGGCATAATGCTTTTAGAGGACGCGGTGGGAGTGGGCCACAGATGCTAAACCAGGCAGTCTTCCTCCAGCGGTGCACCCTAGAGCTCTAGAGAGGGCGACACTGGCCAGCGGCGGGTAAGCACTGCTAACATTCTGTCAGCACAGCCTGGCGTGACCCTGTACCACAAGCTCTCTAGTCACAGTGCAGCGAGACTATCACTGGCCACCAACTGCGCTTCAGACACAAACAGAGCAGACAGTCTGCAGTCGGGGTAAAAGCTAGTGAACATGATTGGCTGAAAGCTTCATCTCTGCAGGTATCATCTGTCTGTGGCTGATTATAACAACCTGTCAGGCAGTCTGCAGGGGTCAGAGGTCAGTGCTGGGGACAGTGAGTTACTGCATCATCCACTCTGGTAAATCAGAGCCGGAAGGATGCGCAGACAATCACAGGGTTCCTTGAGGATGTAAGAGCACAGCTTGAATCAAACTGCTGCTCGTTATCTGCCATATCATTATCCCTAAATTTGGAGTGTGCTAAATGTGCACTTGAAGAGACAACGATTTAGATCCTGAAGTGTTGAAAATGCAGTTCTTGGTGCCTGGGTATTGCACAACAAAGAAGCGTTCACACATACTGATTGTATTGATTGAGGTTGCTGAGTGGCTGTATTGTACTACTAAAAAAAACCCAAACATTTATTTATTTATGTATGTATTTTTGATTGCAAGTGAGTATTATGATGTTATATATAATATATATGTCATATATTACTTATAAGTTATTATAAGCAAATTAAATAAGTTATTAAAAGACAAATATGGTAAGAGCCCCCCCCCCCATTTTTTTCTTGACACTCTTTTGTTCAATTTCATCTGAATATCAACATTTGTGAGAGACAGTCAGTCGAAAAGTTTTTAAGTTAATTGATCTGATTTTGTGTCTCTGGAAAAAAGCAATCTCTGACATTGTATTAGGTTGAATATCAATGTTTCTTGTGTCTATTTGTTAATGAGGGTTTTGTGGACACATCAGTGTTTTTGGAGTAAAAGTTATAGTTTTTGAAGTAAAAAGATCAAATTAGACCCTTGGGGTAAGATTACCCCTCCCCCCGTTAATTTTATAATTAATATAATTAATGGGGTTATTATTCAAATATTTCCATTAGGGGTGGCCGATATACACGATTAACCGGTAGAAATGTGTCAACCGGTGAAGATTCACCTGATTCATCATGAAAACTCACATTGCGATATTTAATTTTTCTGCGATATATATTGCATTATGAAAAAAAATAAATATCACCAGATGACTTGAATAGCTCTATTTGGAAAAAAATATATATCAATGATTGGGGTGATTTTGTAGGTGAGTAAATCAGCATAGAAAATAAACAAATTCCATGCATAAATATAATAGAACAAAGATACTAATGAAATGAACAGTACTTTACTTTTTTTCATGTAAGTCTAACAGTATTCAGGTACAGAAATTGAATAATTAAATGTAAAATAACACTGCAAAGTCTTCACTGTATAAAATAAATCTGTGTTGAAGCTACAAAATTTTCTTTCTATTTAAAAAAAAAAAATTGTATTTTCTTTCTTAATTGTTTACCTTCACTTAAGCCATAAGCAACTGTGTTTACAAGGATACTTGCAGAGACATGCA